TTTTTTTTTTTTGGTTCTTCGAGCTCTGTTCACGGCTCTGCATGCATAGTGGGTGCTTCATTTTCCTTTTTTAATTATTAATTGTAGATGGTACCTTCAAGGTTATTGAATTGAGGTGAAGGGTTTGTTTTTGGAGCCCAGAAATTTAATTTTTAAAACGAACTCATGGCTTTATTAAAGAAGAAAAAGAGCTTCGGAGACCATTTAAAAGGAATTCATTGTGTTCTATTAAAGCTAATAACTTTTAGAATTATGTCTCCTCTGATATGACCAAGCTGTGGTTTAATCTGTCTTTGAACTTTGAAATAGCTTTTGGATATATGAAATTTGAATGCTTTTTTTGAGATTATCTCTGTCGTCTCTTGCAGGTACGTTCTGAGGAAAATTCGCCTCTCGAAGTATACAGAGAAGTTCAAGAGCAAAGCGTGCCAAGAGGTTTTTCTTTATATTCTTGGCTGTTACTCACATTGTGTTATTTTCCTTTATTATCCATGTATTTCAGCTCTGTGTAATTTCCAGACCAGTGGTTATGGTTACAATTACAACTTATCTTTCGGAGATGAAATCAACATATATGACTAAATTAGTTGGGGAAGTTTTGGTATTATTAGAACTAGACTCAAACTAACGGGAAATGCTATGGTCCCGTTACGGTAACATCCGGTCGGGGGTTTTAACCGTTGGACTTGGATCATCTATCTTATACTAACTACATGTGTATCCAACGGTTAAAACACCTGACGGGATGATACCGTAACGGGACCGTAGCATTTCCCCTAACTAATATCTGTAGTCAGTAAATTTCTGTTTTCTGTTTTTGCAAGTTTCACACAGATATATATTTTAAATTGTCTGAGTTGGATTATTTTCAGCTTGAGGTTCTAAATGTTATCATGTATATAGATGAAATGCGTATTTGAAAATTTTTAGTCACACGACATGACGAAGAAGTATTATCTGCATCAAACTTTTGGCTCCATTATTGGCTATTACATTGATTGAATAGAGAATGGCCTAATAATAGCCTTAGATGAAATGCTTTCCAAATGCCATCTGAATAACTTAAACTTTTTTCTTCAACTCTGTCTGACTTCACATCTGCATATCACATACTACAGGTGGATTTAATTGCAAATCTTCGCCATCCATACATTCTTGAATACAAAGATGCTTGGGTGGACAAGGTATTGTGTCATTTATTGTCTGAATATATATATCTGTTGTAGCCGGTTGAAATCTGATACTGAAGAAAAAGCAACGCTTTCATTTTCATATATTCTTCAGGAAAGCTGTATATGTGTTGTCACCAGCTACTGTGAACTTGGAAATATGTAAGAGCCCCTTTTAACTTTTAAGGATTTACAATTTTATGCCCTGCACGCGCGTTTACTAGTAAGTGAATTGCATGGGAGTGGGCATTAAACTTCTATTTATTTTAAAATTTAATTTTTACATATGTAGATCTGAAATTATGAAGAAGGCAAAAAGAGGATCACATTTTCCGGAGGAGGTAATCATAAATTTATATTTTTATTAAAGAAGTATATGTATATTTATCTTCATTAGTTAACTCACACAGTGTTTATGGTTTGTTGTTGTAATATGCTACAGAAACTGTGCAAATGGCTAACTCAGTTGTTATTAGCTATCGATTATCTTCATTCAAATCGTGTCCTTCACAGAGACCTCAAGGTTTGATGGATATGATCAAATTCGTACTGGTTAGGTTTATACTTGAAAATAGTTTGATCTTTTTTTGACTCGAATTCTTTTATATAATTCCAGTTGTCGAACATATTCATCACAAAGGAAAACGACATCCGTCTTGGTAAGGCCGAATCATGTATATTTCTAACAACAAATTATTTGCTTCAACCTTTGCAGGGTTAATTACAATAAAATGCATTTGAGCCTGATTGTATATTTTGAAACTATGATTATGGATATTTGTTAACGCAATACAAGCCTTAAGGGGTTATTTATAATTCTGAAACGTGATTGTATTTTTTCGTAACCGAGTCAGACCGCTATTGTAATATTTGTAAGTTTGTAACTATCTCTATATGTGATTCAGTTTGTTCACGCTATGTAATTCATTTACAGGTGATTTCGGATTAGCAAAACTTCTCAATGAGGAAGGCCTTGCCTCATCGGTATGATTGTAAAATATTAGGTTCTCACAATATGCTAGTTACTAGGCTTGTCCCCTATTTTATTACTTCCGTGATCTTTTTTGACTAACGAAGATATTTGTTAATAATCAAACCCAACTTGGATTAATAAAGGTTATCCCACAATTACTTACTCAAATAATAATGGTTGGTTGCTGTTGTACCTCAACTAGGTTGATGGGACTCCCAATTACATGTGTCCAGAACTTCTTGCAGATGCACCATATTGCTACAAATCCGACATATGGTCTTTAGGTAATAAATTAATGTGTTTATGGTCACAAACAATACCCTTGAGGTGGGGTTTAATTACCAAACGGCATATAACTAAATTTCATAATTACACGAAGTGCATTTGATTGATTACGGGTACTTAAAAAAAAAAACAAAAAAATCTATCTGCAGGTTATTATCTCAATCTTTTTGTTGAATTTTTCATGTTTCCAATTTAAAAATGCTACCTTTCTTCTGTCTAGGCTGCTGTATGTTTGAAATGGCTGCACGTCAACAAGCATTTCGAGCTCCTGTAAGTTCCAAAGTTGTTTAATTTTATACACGAGATCTTTCTTATTTGCCATTAGACTAAGTTATTTCTCATTGAGGCTTTATATATAGCTGAAACTCTTGGAACATGTGAATGAAATAGGATATGGCTGGACTTATCAACAAGATAAACCGGTCTTTGATCTCCCCACTGCCCATAGTATACTCTTCCAATCTGTAAGTATTTTTAAGTTTCATGCATGGCATGCCTTCTCGACAGAAGCCTTTATATTTACGCCATAAAATGATGAAAAACTTGAAACTGACAAATAGACTTTCAAAAATGTTCAGAAAACAGATAATAAAGAGCATGCTGAGGAAGAGTCCTGAACATAGGCCCACGGTATGTTCATACTTCTACACTTTCTTCTTCAACTCGTTTCTCCACCTTTTTTTTTCTTTTTTTTCCCCCTTAGTTTTGGTGATTAATATATATTCACATAATAGGCTGCAGATTTATTACGACACCCGCATTTGCAGCCGTATGTCCTTAAATGCCATAACCTCTCCACTGTTTTTCTCCCTGTAAAATCCCCCTCGACAAACAACACCAAGGATAAAACGGGGAACTCATCTCCCGGCTGTTCTTCTTGTACAAAAGAGTCGAAAGACCACAAACAGAGACGAACAAAAGTTAAGCAGCAGAAGGAACTTCTCCCATTATTTGATGAAAATAACCGTGCAACAAGTGCATGCTATCCTAACCTACTGGATGACACTGATTTCTCGATAGATGTCCATCTTGAGACCAAACGTGTGGACCCCACAAGCTATTCTGGAAAAATCTCGAGTGATGGTGAGGATTCGAAGAGTAGTGGGGACAGAGCCCGGATAATCAATGGGGATATCAAGGGTAATCCCGTGTTTTCTTCTTTGGAAAGTGGCCCGGATAATAAATGGGGAAACACTGATGCAGTGATTGAAAAGGTTGTTGATTTGGAGCTAGCTCGTCGGGCCCACGTGACCGGGGAAGGAAAGTTGAAAGCAGAGGATAATAATCTCCAGACGTGGGGAAAAGTCGATAAAGAACCGAGTGTTAATCTGAGGTTAGAGAAAGCTGAAGCTCTGGAGTCTCTGCTTGAATTGTGTGCGAAATTGCTCAAACAGGACAAATTTGACGAGCTTAATGGCGTGCTAAAGCCGTTTGGGGATGATATAGTGTCGTCCAGGGAGACAGCAATCTTGCTGACAAAAAGTTTGATGAATGCTCAAAAGAAGCTTGCTAAAGAAACATAGGTTTTCATAGAATTCAACATGCTTTAACGGGGTTGTCTTGATTTTCAGTAATTTATTCTGTAAAAAGAAGTGATGTTTTTCTTGAGTGTGAATGTGCTTGTTTGGATATCGAAAGATCGATATTGAACTGCGTTTTCTTTAGGATTGGTTTTGGGAAAACCGGTATGATTGTTTTCCCTCATTTTTTTTTTTTTCGGGTTCATTTTGCTACTGAAGGCTGCTTGTTGTCTATCATCTTTTTTGCTTGATGATAGCTTGATGTGACTATTATGTATACTGTATCATGAACTTCATATCAGTGTGTTAGATATTAGAACTTCACATTTTATTTTGTTTGAACTTGAATTTCATATGATGCAAGTTTTATTACAGATTTAATTTATGATTGTAAATATGTTGGGGTATATTGTTATCATGCTAATAGTTTGATAGTTGTTAGACTGGTAATGAAGAAAAGAATGATGCTAATCTCTTTACTAGTAGCACACTATTCCCCTTTTCATCTGGCAAGATGTAATTTTGCACAGTTAAATAGTCTCTCACAACACATCTTAAGGCAAAGTAACAAACCAAAAGAAGATTCTTCAAGTTTATGAATTTATGAAGATAATATCTACAGCTATACATTCACCTGATATGTTTGCCTTTCGGCGTATAACTTTTCAAAATAAATTCTGATAACATTTGCACACTAAATTTACAAGCTGCTGTTTGTGATTTGAGTCACAAGACTAAATAAACCTAATAATAACCCTTTGTAAGGCTGATCAAAGCTTTATCAAGAAGCCGAGCCTTTGGATGTGGATTGTTGGATATCGAGCTGGTGCTCCGCTATTACGATACAAGAATCTCTTTCCAGAGTTGAAACCGAGCTTCCAACATTCTTAGTGAAAGAGTCTTTTGGTGAATTAAGAATATCGGTTGTACATTGTACATCGGGGGTTATACCAACCTGGTCAATGTCGTGAAGTGCCGGTGATAAGTACTTGGCCACAGTAATGAAAAGAGCCGATCCATCATTTAGCTCTGTCACACTCTGCAATAATTTATATTTTGAGATTAATTTTGCTATACATGGTCTTGATATGATACTTAGTTAACAAAAAGTATTTGAAATTTAGATACAGTTTATCTTTCCAAAAACTACAAATTGCAATGCATTTTTACAGATAAAGATTCATTTTTACAGATTCATTCTTGCGGATTGCAATGCATTTGTTTTCATTTTCAACAAGGTATCGTCAAAAACCTGTATTTTCCCTTTCCCGAAAGTCTTATGCCCAATGAGAGTCGCTCGACCATTGTCATGAAGTGCTCCCGCAAGAATCTCACTCGCGCTTGCACTCCCTTCATTAACCTGTCTCAAAAGTTAATCGAAAAGCCAAAAAAAAAAAACATTTAGTAGCTTCCTATGACTAAGAACCTCACTAACATATATTTTCATCAGTGAAAATAATAACAATTAAACGAATAAACTAATAATCAATCAATGAAGTGGGACTTTACAAGGACGACAAGTGGATCGTGAGTTATTGCATGACCATCGATCATGGTAATAGGCAACATATTTCCATCTCTATCGATAGTGTTCACTAGCGTTTCAGTCCCGTCTAGCCAAATTTGAGCTACATCAAGTCCTGCTGTTACCAAACCTCCCTATAAACAGTAATGAGGAGAAAAAATGAGCATTTATAGGTCTCTTCTATAATTAGACCAAATTCGAAGGGTACGTTCGCAATTATCTACGAGAAAAAATTCGGCTTACTGGATTATTTCTGAGATCTAATATATACGACTGCACGCCTTGATTTTCCATCTCATGAACTGTGTTTTCCATCTCCACTGCAGCAGCCTGTCGTATTTAAGATAATGTCACAATTTTCTTTTTCACGAATCCCATTTTTTGTACTCACGGCACAAAATGACTCTTCCTCATGACCTTTTAAATACTATAAATATACACGAATTAGTGTACCTGAGAAAAAGTTGACAGCTTTACGTATCCAGTTTTGGAAAGATGCCCGTCGGGTGCTCTGTGGTGGATAATGGCGCTAGATACGGGCGAAAGCTTTATTACTTCACGAGGTATTTTAACCTTTCGAAAAATAGTATTTCGATAATTTAGCTATCCTTCACTTTTTACCTACAAATGACTGTATCATATTGCACATTCGAGATACCTATACCTCTCTGACATAAGAGTTCCCCAAGTCATCGACCTGAATAATATAAAAATGACTGCGTTAAAAAATTCAACAGAAATTTCCGAACATAGTCATATTGGATTTATTACAGGTAAAGATCTATTATGAAATATTCATCTTAAATTACAATGTATATATATACTCACACTGTGAACTTTTACGGTGACAGTTGTACCAACTCGTCCTCTAAGCTTTTGGGCAGCTGCTTCACTTCCCACGCCATCAAGTCTTTCACCTAATTTGGCTCGAGGGATTTATTCATTCAACATTTTAGATAACAACTTAGACAATAGCAACTTAGACAAGTCAAATGTAGCCAGTCAATATCAGATAAGCCATACACGTTAGATATCACCATATTAATGCGATCTAAATATTATCTGGTCATTATTCAAGAATCAAGAGATTGCTAAATCATTCTTTCTTTTTCCTTTTTTTTTCTCATCCAAAGCTTAGCAGTTATGTGAAGTACCGTTAATCTCCACTAGCTCATCTCCTTCGTGAATGCCAGCCCGCGCGGCAGGGCTATTCTCTATGCACGACAAAACAACCTGCAAAATATGCATTTCTTATCAATCATGATTTTTTATTCGCCGCTATCTGCATCAAGTAGAAGTTTTAAAATAACAAAAAGGTTAAGTTTCAAATTCATGATTATGGATGACATCAAGAATCTGAACTATACAGTAATAAATTTACCACTCCTCGGTGAGAAATACCACATATGTACTTACAGCGAATATTACACACATATTTTCAGATGTTAAAATTTTCTGGCAATGCTTGAAAATATCAAGTAATCGTATCAACTCACCATGCGCCCAGTCTTCGGCTCAGCACTGACAAATAAGCCAACACCTTGCAAGTTCCCATCACTTCCTATTCTGAAGCTTTGATATTCCTACAATTTTAAACAATATAAGTAGCCATTATTATCACGGGATAAAAGTTGGAAAATACATAATTGGACTAAGAAAGTAATAATACCTTAGGACTAATGATGCGCGTAAAAGGGTCACCGAGAGTGGAAAGCATCCCTTTGATTTTATTATACGCTGCATCTTCTGATCTAAGTGGAAATATTTCAACCATCGTTTGTTGCAATTTTAAATCCCAATCTGTATTAGCCCATTACTTAGTTGGTGTATTTGAAAACATCATGAAAAGGACTAAAACCATTTCCTTTAGAGAGCAGAACTGCAAAGATGAGTACAAATGCAACCACAATGTAATATTCACACACACACACACACACACACAAGACAATCTAAACCTCACTTCCTCTAACTGTGTAAAGTCAAAGCAAGCTTAGGAAATTTATGCAGACTTAAAAGAAAAGGATTTTAACTATTACTGTTTGTGTACACTAAGGCATGTTTAAAATTAGACACCAAACTTTTGATTCTCAGTTAGTTTTTACTTGTTCAGACAGCACCAACTAAATTCTTACCCTGATGATTGAAAGTTGGATCGACGAAGGTCTCCCGAATCAAACCCCATGCCTCGATGAGAGTTCTTTGAACTGTATTCACCTGTCATAAAACCAAGCCAAGAAAAAAAAAAAAAATCAATTTTACCACAAAATCCCAAGAAAATGTTCATCTCAGCACATAACATGAATAAAAATGCAATCTTTGGCATTAAAAAAGCACTAAAATCCCAGAAAATGTGAAAACTACAAAAACTCAAATCACCTCACGCGTGTGAGAAACAGGAAAGGCCACAGTTAAAGACTCCGCAAAAGACGGCGAATCGGAACACAGAGAAAGCGCAGCAGCAAAACCAAGCGCCCCATTCAAAACCCTCTTAACAAAATCCTTATTTACAGCTAAAGAACATCCATTTCGAGCTACTGGTGAGCTGCCCTTGTCCTGACTCGAGCACTGAACAATGTTACCTCTGAGATTCTTGCTTTTCCCACCGTTAAATTTCGAGAATCGGCAAGATAGTAGCAGTTTCGAGGTGGGTTTTGAGGAAAAGTTCGATAAATGAGAGAGCTTTGACAAGCTACGATCAAGATTTGTGCTGACAGCCTCCATTTTCATGTCCCGTTTTTTCTGAAAGATTTTATTTTGAGCTCGTTGCGAAGAAAAACAGGTATACAGGAACAAATTTGATGCCAAAGAGTAACCCCATTTGTGGTGGTTGTGTCTGTAGCGTGTCTGAGAGTATCTCTGTTCTTCTGTGGAGAACAAAGAAAGAATCCGAAAACTCTCTAAAGTGGTGACAAGTGGAACAGCATTTGGCAATATTTATGTGGACAATGGGAAATGTTACGGTCTCGTTACGAAATCATTCTGTCGGGATTTGTAATCGTTAGATCATTATATAACCGTCAAATATAGTTGATCTAACTGTTACAAACTCCGATGGAATGGTTCTATAATTTCCCTTTAATTTTTATACAGTTCTTTTCTATTTTATTAGAGGATGTTTGGAAAAAAACCCAACTATAATAATAGTTAGGAGCACTAGAGGATGATACAATCATAAAATATGACAAACCTTCATATAATAGAAGATGATATAGGCTATGTTAGGTGAATCTATTTAATAAGTTAGGTGATAGTTGATAAGAGAATTTCGAACGTAGATAGTTTATGCTAGCTAATATGATAAAAGTTTTTGATAAAATTAGCTGATAAGTTAGCTAAAATAAAGTTTTAACGGGTTTATTTGAAAAGTTATTCAATGAAGCATATAAGATAAGAAGTTCGTCCTATCAAATTAATTTGAATACATGAATCTTATACCTAACAAAAAACGTTATAAGTTAGTTTACGATGCTTACCAAATACACTGATAATTATAAAACATCACATAAACTTTCATATAATAGAGATTGTGATAATTTTATAATGTCATACATTACCTTACTGTTATACAAATTTTTATATTGGTCATGATAGGCATTTTAGGAGACAGTAGTAGTTGTGATTGAATTAATTGACATTACATAGCTGACTCTTAACAGTACTGGTTGTGATTGAACTAATTTAAATTGTTATTTAGATTAGCCTCTGTAATTTGGTCCTACAATAGCTTGTCCTAGCAAAGTAAACTTGATGCAATTAGTAACTTAAAACATGAGACAGTAGTTGATATAATTATTTTTAGATGGAGTACTTGGATGTAAATAATAAATTACAGAAACAGTAGTGTTAACAACATAGCACATAGTTTAGATTTTTTTTTTTTTTTTTTTT